GAAAAAAAAATCGACAAATGATCAAAATGATATTATGAAGGGATCTCCTGAAGAGACCCAAGATCTGATTAGTTATAAGATTCCTGAAGAAATCAATAAACCCGAGACTCAAGTGAGCGAAGAACTTTTAATAAGTTCTACTGGTGATGGGATTAATTTAAATCGATCTGAAATAGTGGTGGATAATATTTTTGCATATAATGTTGCACTTAACATTATGCAAGATAGTGAGGATTTTGAACCCCGATCTGTCGAAGAATGTCAACAAAGATCTGATTGGCCAAAATGGCAAGGGGCAATTCAATCAGAATTGAACGCACTTGCTAAAAGAGAGGTCTTTGGACCAGTAGTCCAAACACCTGCTGGTATAAAACCAGTTGGTCATAAATGGGTTTTTGTGCGAAAAAGGAATGAGCAAAATGAAGTTGAAAGATACAAGGCTCGCCTTGTCGCACAAGGATTCTCACAACGACCTGGAGTCGATTATGAAGAAACATATTCACCCGTTATGGATGCCATAACATTTCGATATCTCATCAGTTTAGCCTTACGTGAAAGGCTTGAAATACATATGATGGATGTGGTTACAGCTTATCTGTACGGGTCACTTGATAATGAGATTTACATGAAAATCCCTGAAGGATTTAAAATGCCTGAAGCATATTCAAAATCTCGGGAAATGTACTCAATCAGATTACAAAGATCTTTGTACGGTTTAAAACAATCTGGGCGCATGTGATATAATCGCCTCAGTGAATATTTGTTGAAAGAGGGTTGCATAAATGATGTTATTTGTCCATGTATTTTTATAAAAAAAATGACATTAGAATTTGTTATACTTGCTGTTTATGTTGATGACATAAATCTTGTTGGAACTCCAGAAGAGCTCCAAAAGGCAATTGAATATCTTAAGAAAGAATTTGAGACGAAAGATCTTGGAAAGACAAAACTCTGTCTTGGACTGCAAATTGAATATTTAGCAAATGGGATCTTTATGCATCAATGTGCCTATACAGAAAGGGTCTTAAAACGCTTTTACATGGACAAAGCGCACCCATTGAGTACACCAATGGTTGTTCGATCACTTGAAGTGAATAAGGACCCGTTCCGACCTCCAGAAGAGGATGAGGAACTCCTGGGTCCTGAAACACCCTATCTCAGTGCAATTGGTGCACTTATGTATCTTGCTAATGCTACAAGGCCTGACATAGCATTTTCTGTTAATTTACTAGCAAGATATAGCTCTTCTCCTACACGGAGACATTGGAACGGGATTAAGCATATATTGCGATATTTAAAGGGAACTCTTGATATGGGTTTGTTTTATGCTAACAAAGATAGTGCAGATCTTGTTGGTTATGCAGATGCAGGTTATTTATCTGATCACCATAAAGCTAGATCTCAGACCGGGTACGTGTTTACATGTGGAGGTACTATCATATCATGGCGCTCCACAAAACAATCTATTGTTGCTACTTCTTCAAATCATGCTGAAATAATAGCCATTCATGAAGCAAGTAGAGAATGCGTATGGTTGAGATCAATAATTCTTTTTATTCGAGAAAAATGTGATTTAGAATGTGAGAAAAGACCCACAATTTTATACGAAGACAATGTTGCATGCATAGCCCAATTGAATGGAGGATTTATAAAAGGAGATAGAACGAAGCACATTTCACCAAAATTATTCTACACACACGATCTTCAGAAAAATGGTGACATTGATGTGCAACAAATCCGTTCAAGTGACAATCCGGCAGATTTATTCACCAAATCTTTACCAACTTCAACTTTTGAGAAGATGGTATACAAGATTGGAATGCGGAGACTTAAATATTTGAAACAAGATTTTCATCAGGGGGAGTAAAATATGCGATGTACTCTTTTTTCTTTATTAAGATTTTTTTCCACAGGGTTTTCCTTATAAGGTATTTAATGAGGCAGCTAGCAATGCGTATTACTAAATATGTGTATTCTTTTTCCTTCACTAGGAATTTTTTCCACGGGGTTTTTCCTAGTAAGATTTTAACGAGGCACATTATCTTTTAATGAACATCCAAGGGGGAGTGTTATGAATATATTATATTATGGATGTTCGTTTAGTACTCCGTTGTAAACAAGCTTCCTGAAGAAGTTTATCCATATGAGACTCCGCCATAAATACATTTATCTATTTAGTACTCTATTGGAAATAAGCCTCCTGAAAAAGCTTATCCTTTCGGTACTCCGTTATGGATAAATATTACCCATGATAGAGGATTTATCTATATCTGGCACAACAGTTTAGAGCAGCAGCTTACAAGCAGCTTACAGTAACATCCAAGGGGAAGTGTTATGAATATATTATATTATGGATGTTCATTTAGTACTCCGTTGTAAATAAGCTTCCTGAAGAAATTTATCCATATGAGACTCCGCCATAAATATATTTATCTATTTAGTACTCTATTGGAAATAAGCCTCCTGAATAAGCTTATCCTTTCGGTACTCCATTATGGATAAATATTACCCATGATAGAAGATTATCTATATCTGGCACAACAGTTTAGAGCAGCAGCTTACACAGCAGCTTGCAGTAGCAGCTTACACAGCAACTTACAACAACAGCTTACAAGCAGCTTACACAGCAGCTTGCAGTAGCAGCTTACACAACAGCTTGCAGTAGCAGCTTACACAACAACTTTCTTTTTTCTATAAATAGAGGAGAATTCAGTTCATTATGTACATAAATTTAAAATTTAAATAATATATCAGTTTCTTTCTATACTTGAATTTACTTTACGATATTTATTTTATAAAAATATCCAATTTTAGAAGTAAGTTAAGTGAATGTGTCCTCAACTTCATCACAGTGTGATCCACTTTCAGACAATTACACTCTGATCGCGACAAGATAACGGATCAACAGTTACTGTGTGCGCGCGTGTGAGAGAGAGAGAGAGAGAGATAGAAAAAGAGAATATCCCAAAATCTTTTGGATATTTATATATATTATCCCCTTTCTAAATTATGAAGAAAACAAAGAAACGTGAGGCTAATTAATCTGGATCTTTTCTGATCTGATTCCTGTTGGGTATTTTTGGGAAGCTGCTTTCTAGGTGAGCTAACTAGGGTTTCATTTTTGGGGTTCCATTTTTTGAGCCACAGAATTGGGAAATGCGAAATCAACTCTACTTGAATGTAAATGGGATTTTCTTGAAAAGGGGTTTTGTTTGCTTTCTGAAGCTGAATTGAACAGAAATTGTTTCAAAAGTTTGAATTTTGGTGAGATGGGGTTGAATAAGATGGGTTTTTTGCAGTGAAGTGATACGGAATAAGCAGAGTATACACTAAAGGTGAGTGCTTTTTAGTTTCTTTGTTTTCAATTTCATTTGTTTTGTGAGATCAGTGAAACTATGCATCATTAATTAGCAAATTTTATCTATAAAGTTTCTTTCTTTGTTTGTTTTTTACTACTTTTCTTAAATAGGGATAATTTGACACGGTGAAATAGCAAATTTTATCTATAAACTTTTCTTAAATAGCAAATTTTATCTATAAAGTTTTGTGAGATCAGTGAAACTATGCATCATTAATTAACTTTCTTGTTTATCTTTATATAAAAAAAGCTTCTGCCTTTGCCATGATTTTTCCAATTTGATTAAGCAGAAAAATAAATACTTTACAAAATTAGTAGTTAATAAAAGTCCCAAAATAGTAACAATGGGTCATACAGATTTAGAAGATATTAATGGTTGCATATGGTTGGAATGTTATGGCATTAAATCAAGAAGTTATTGTTCAGGAGAGAACTTTTATGATCTTACTGGTATTGAATTGTGTGAACTGCCTCATTTAAAAGCTGGAGATATTAAAGAGGAGACAGTTTTATTAGTTTATTTAGGTCTGCAATAGGTTGTGATCTGCTGTGAGGGAAATCTATTACTCAGGAATGGTTTTAAGACGTCTTACTGCAAATTGTTTACTCCAGTGAAAACAAAGAATTGCTCATTTGGATAAGCATTTAGATCATAAGCAGTGCTTTGGCTGAATTTCAAACTATTGTGAACCAATGAGTTGCCACTTATGAAAGTCACGCTCGCTAAGAGTGGTAGGCATCAGAATTAGGAAGGTAAACTAATGTAATTTAGTTCTTTGCATTTTTGGGTGGTTGTTCTGTATGTTCAGTTTGCTCATAAATTTTTGTGATCAGTTTACAAGCACTTTCCTTTCCTTTTCTCGTTTTTGCTGGTTTTGGAGTTTATTAATGGTTAATATTTTTGTAAACGAGCAACTTATGTCTCGTGTTTCCTAAGTTACTATGCATAAATTTTTTATATTATTTTTCTCCTAACTTATTATGCCTAGTTTGCCACAATTTCAGGTATATGGCAACTCCAGTTGAGCCTCCGAATGGGATTAGGACCCCAGGAAAGCATTACTACTCTATGTGGCAATCCCTTTTTGAAATTGATACGAAATATGTACCTATTAAGCCTATTGGTCGAGGAGCCTATGGAATTGTTTGTTCTTCCGTTAATAGGGAAACCAATGAGAAGGTTGCAATCAAGAAAATAAACAATGCTTTTGAGAACCGTATTGATGCTTTGAGAACTTTGCGTGAACTAAAGCTCCTTCGCCACCTTAGACATGAAAATGTGATTGCTCTAAAAGATGTGATGATGCCAATCCACAGGCAAAGTTTCAAAGATGTTTACTTGGTTTACGAACTAATGGATACTGATTTACATCAGATAATCAAATCCTCTCAAACACTTTCAAATGATCATTGCCAGTATTTCCTATTCCAGGTACTTTTATCCCGTGGGGAGCGCAATCTATGTTACAAACAGTATGGATATGATAGTTAGAAGCTTCATGCTTGTGTAGCTGTGTTTTAGTTTCTCATTGAACTCATTCGACTATTTTTTCTTTCTTGTATTGGTCTCTCTCTCTCTCTCTCTCTCTCTCTCTCTCTCTCTCTGTATTNCTCTCTCTCTCTCTCTCTCTCTCTCTCTCTCTCTCTCTCTCTCTCTCTCTCTCTTAAATGTGCATTCCCATTGTGAACTCTGAGAAGGTAGTGTGTGGTGTGGATGCTTGGAGGGAATATTCTTGCTTCAATCCTCATCATGATTGTCTTGTTCCTACAATTAAACTGAGGTATACCATATTTGAGGGTGAGTTCATAGACCTTGACTTTTGTGTTCTAACTTGGACAATTGTGATGTTTTTTGACGCGTCAATCATCCAAGTGGTGCTAGTTTTAGAAGGAGTGTAATAATATGGATAGCGATGTGAGCCAAAATCTACTCTATGGTTGCTATTTGGCGGCCTCCTGCTCTTCATTACTTTTTTTATCTTTTATAATTTTCTTTACTTAATAGTGCTGCTGTTAAAGGTCAGTTGAACAAATAACCAAGTGGCAATTTTGATTAGTAGAAGAGAGTGACAGCATACTTTTTGTTTATCAAGTGAATATTGTGCATTTTACCGGACTAATTCATTTAATAGTCTTGTAACTGAGAAGTTGTCCAAGCAGTTAAAACCACAGAGGTGCTTTCTTTTCTGCCTGGAAATCCAATGTCATTGTCGTAGTAATGCGTATTTTCTCAACCTAGGTTCTTAAGTAAGGTGAGGGTTCTCTAGGTTCGTAAATATGCATCTATCTAGTTTTTAACTAAGGTGAATGTTGTCTACGTCCATGAATATGCATCTATGTACATGAGATGTGCGCTACTATCTGGTTGTTTTGTTTCATTGTCAGTCTTCAAACATAGTAGAAGCTGTAGATTTACATAACACCTATATGTTCCTAAGCATGCAGATCTTCTAATGTTATTCAATCACCACCAGAGCAGATGTAAAAAATAACATTAGTATGGATAATTGATATGCAATGAAAGTGTAATGATTTTTTCACATTATTACTATAATTTAACCTATTACAACAGGTTACTTGCCATTTATTCTAGATTATCGATCAATCCTATTAAATAGATTTACCTGCAATTATCTTTTTAGTGACCGTACTGTGTAAATAATATTTTACACTATCGGTGCATAGAACTCAAATGTTGCAGTATTATACCCACTTCCGTTTATACTAGAAATTATGGGGAAAAACTTCGTCAATTGATTAAGTGAAAAACTTGAAATAAGTTGGTTAACTTTTCAACCCATAAAATGATCTTTTGTGATAAAAACCCGAAGGAGGTTATAGCTCGAACCAAATTGAGCTTTAACTTCCTTTAGTTGGTCTTTATCGCTATAAATCATTTTATAGTTGAATCAATTGAGGAAGTTAGCCTACTTTGTCTTATTTCAAGTTTATCACTAGACAAAGTTCTTTTTCCATAATTGCTATTATAATGGAAGTGGGTATAATACTGAAAAAGTTTGAGTTCTATGTAGTGACGGTGCTAAAAAAATATTTACACAACGGGTTGCTTAAAAGGTAACTGCATGTAACTCTTTTTAATAGCATTGATTGGTAACCTAGAATAAATTATAGGTAACCTCCTATAATAGGTTAATCTAGAGTGATAGTGTGAAAAATGATTACAGTATCAGTGCTATAACTTAAATCGACATTGAAATTAATTTTTTACAGCTACTTCAATGTTGATTGAATAACAATAGGAGATTTGCACGCTTAGGAAAATATAGATGCTATGTAAAATCTAGAGCTTCTACTGTGCTTAGACAGACAATTAGTAGTTCTGTATCAAATTGTTAGTATCTGGATATGGTCCTTCCAATAGGAGACACAGCATGGCCGCTCACCCTCCTAGCCAAACTCTTCCTATTGTTTTATTCCACTCAAACCCCTGTATGTCGTCTGTCCTTCAACATAGCCTACTTTTCTCCAATCGGACATCTGTCCTTCCAATTCTCACCTGCCACTCCGCTTTGATGCTAGATTCACTAGAATTTGTATATTTGGAAGATCGCTTCTTCCATTCTTAGGCAAATGAATCCACTGCAGAACTTATTCTTATAAAACTATATTGATGCATATTTTATTGTGGGAATTTAGTTTTTTTCTTCTTCTTATTTTGTTTGCCTGAAAGATTATTCTACTTGTTGTGGATAAGTAAAAAATAAAGGAAAAAACCATTCTACATTTTATCTCAAGTGTTATGCATCTTGCAGGATCTTTTTCCAGTACCAGAAAGCTGTAGTTCCTTAATCACATGCCTATGACGACAATTATCGTGAAACTATAAAAACAAATGTAAAAGTACCTTCTTTTTTTCTTGTCTTGGGTTAAATTTTGTTTGAAATCTGTTTTATGATGTCCTAATAGTATCTTCTTCCTTCAATTAAAGATTACATTAAGCATGAATCGAAGCTCATTCTATTTAAAAGTATTCTAATTTTTGTAGGAATATTATCTAGATGAGCTCCTATTCTCAGCTTGTGCTAGTTCTACAGATGTTCATATGCTCATCCAGATGCCAAAGTAGAGCACCACGTAACAATTGACACATTATACCTGTTTCCCAGTTTCGCCCTTCAAAGACAAGACTGTGCTAAAGTCTTGTGCAAATTCTTTTTTAGGAGTCTCTGTCTTCCGTGCATATCCTACATTACTCATTCATTTCTTGTTGGTTTGATCCATCAACTTATACGAATTTCTCTAATCTATATTCCAGAATATTGGTTCCTTGACCCTCTTTCCAGAATCCACCATTAGCAAGCTTGGGCTTTGGTTTAGCTGGTTATGGTTTTATTCCATTGGTTTCTGTTTGTGGAACACAATTCTGTTAGTGATCCAAGAGTGTGACACATGAAAATGGGAAATGACGTTATCCTGTGCACTCTTCATCTCTTGCCCCCAGCCCTAAACATGCCATGGAATAGCTTTGTTATTTGATGGTGATTTCTGGACCAAGGATGCTTTGTGTCCTTTTTCCTTTTTTTTCTTTTCCCTATTAGTTCTCTATCTTCTTCCTGTGAGGATAAATTGGAGAAAAATCTCATAAAGTAGGCATCCTCAGGCTGCAACATGTAAGAACTGAAAAACAAAGGAGTTAAAAGGATCATAAAACTAAACAGGAATGAGATGTCCACTTGCGTGCATGCTATTGCTCAGTTCTGCTGATTTAACTGTTTTGACTGCTGAAACTAATGTAATTTGTATGCAGTTGCTTCGAGGTCTGAAATATCTCCATTCTGCAAATATTCTTCATCGTGATTTGAAACCTGGGAACTTGCTTATCAATGCTAACTGCGATCTGAAGATATGTGACTTCGGGCTGGCACGCACGAGCAGTGGCAAGGACCAGTTTATGACTGAATACGTTGTTACACGCTGGTATAGGGCTCCGGAACTTCTCCTTTGCTGTGACAACTATGGAACATCTATTGACGTATGGTCTGTTGGTTGCATTTTCGCGGAGCTCTTAGGGAGGAAACCCGTCTTTCCAGGTACTGAATGCCTTAACCAACTTAAACTGATTATCAACATCCTTGGCAGTCAGCGAGAAGAAGATATTGAATTTATCGATAACCCAAAGGCGAGAAAGTACATCAAATCACTTCCATACTCTCCCGGAACACCCTTTTCCCGTCTCTATCCCCATGCTCATCCTTTAGCCATCGATCTCCTGCAGAGGATGCTTGTGTTTGACCCTTCAAAAAGAATTAGTGTTATCGAAGCACTTCAACATCCATACATGTCTCCCTTGTATGATCCAAACACTGACCCCCCAGCGCAGGTTCCTATCAATCTTGACATAGATGAGGACTTAGGGGAAGAGACGATAAGGGAAATGATGTGGAAGGAAATACTTGAATACCATCCTGAAGCGGCCGCAGCTGCTATGGAAGTTGTTCTATGAGCTGCTTCTTGAAAGGTTGTTGATGTGGTGTTAGACCTTTTTGTAACTTATCTCTAATAAGGTTTCCGCGCTTTCAATAATATCAAGTCTTGATTCATCGACAGTTTGAGCTGTGATGCATATAAGAACTGCTTATATAAGCTTGAACTTTTTGAGCATGTAACGTCGTAATCTGTATATAGGTGTGGTTTTGCAAGTCTAAGGACCTTTTATGCTTTATGAATGTAAGGCAGTTTTATTTGTTGTACTGCCATGTTTGTGATGTTTATTGATGTTGGCTCTTTTAACCTGCCTTTGAGATACTGACATAGACAAGTTTACAAGGCAATTACATTTACAGTTATGTCCCTAAATACTAGTTCATATCTAGTGGTAACAATCTATGCACATAGAAGTAAAGTTCTTAACAGCTTGTTTGGATGGTTGTTACCTATTGTATTGTGTCGTATTGTTGTTTTAAATACACTGTTTGTTTTGATTGTTACCTAAATTTTATTGTATCGTATTGTTAAATCCGTCGTAACGACGAAAAGTGTCACTTTATGTAACGACGGATTTGATGTGGTGGCGTCGTTACCTTATTATTAAAGGGTGACAATCATTTACACTCCCAAACTTTGCGCTAAAAATTAAACTCCCCTCAACTTTGAACAATAGTAATTCTACCCCTTTTATCCTACACAATACCTTTTTTGCCCTTTGAATTTTCAATTTCCTCCTCTATGTAATACTTTTTTATTATATGATATTTTTTTTTATGGTTTTAGCTATAATTTAAATTATGTTATATCTATTATAAATTGTAATTTAAGTTCATTAAAATTATAAGTAGAATAATCTTTTTATAAATGTTATAAATTTACTATTATCTTAATGATTGTTATTTTAATGTAATGCATGTTAACTATATTTAAGTTATATTTTCATCTTGATGGAGCCAGAAATTCATATAAGAGGATTGAAAAAAAAGCCTAAAATATCATATTTAGGATTTGAACTTGTGACCTAAGATAACTTTTGAATCTATACCACTTTAATATCATCTTCTTATGTCAAAGGGATTCAAAATTTTATATACATCTAAAAAGTTTACTTTTGTCGTATTTGCATAGTCTAATATTCTGGCGAGGGGATTCAATTGAATCCTCTTACCTCCTCCGCCCATTAACTTTCTCTCTTATTCTCTATTGTAGATATATATTTTTGGATTTTGATTACCATTAATGACGAGTGGGTTGCTCTAGTGGTGAGCACCCTTCACTTCCAACCAAGAGGTTGTGAGTTCGAGTCACCCCAAGAGCAAGATGGGGAGTTCTTGGAGGAAGGGAGCCGAGGGTCTATCGAAAACAACCTTTCTACCCCAAGGTAGGGGTAAGTTCTGCGTACGCACTACCCTCCTCAGACCCCATTAATGAACTAATTTCTAAGTTTATATTTTGAAATTCATTTATTATAAGGTATAACATAATTTAAATTAAAGATAAATTATAAAAATATCATAGAATAAAAAAGTATTATATAGAGGATGGAATTGAAAATTCAAGAGCAAAATATGCATTTTGCAGGATAAATGAGGGAAAATGACTATTGTTCAAAGTTAAGGAGGGAATTTGATTTTTAAAGCAAAGTTAGGGGGTGTAAATGATTTTAACCCTATTATTGAATAATCATATTTTATCTTTACCCTACTTTTTTATATAATAATTCTACTCAATATCCTATTTTTTCTTAGTAATGTTGTAAGTTTATTCGTCATTTTGTTGGTACGTGACATAATGAAACAACAACAAACTTTACAATCTATCATAACGATATATTCATCAAATAATATATATACAATTCAGTACAATATAATATGATACATTATGAAATAATATGTAACAACTGTTCAAACAAACTGTAAGTGAAGAGATTTGCACGGGAAACATATTAAGCATCCTTTTTTTCTAATTGTAAAGCATCCTGAAAAAGAAGTTATAAGTTAGGAAGTTTGTGATAGGTGGTAATTATCTTGTTACGTTTCTGAGTACTCAGTGTACTAATAAGGTAATCTTTGACTCTATTGAACGTAGTACAGGGAATTGGAGTAGTATTCTATCGGCGCAGAGTCATAATGATTGTTGAGCTATAACACTATTAAGAAGCGTCAAAATTAGGAACAATATTTAATGCCATTTTCCTTCTCAAATAATTGAAGACCCAACAAGTATCTCTTTAATCATATACTATCAGTAAGTACAGAAACCAAGAACAATATTTAAAAAATTTCCCAAATCTACAGAAATGCCCCAAGTAATGATTTTTTTTTGGGGGCTTTTGCATTTGTACCCCGTTTTGCAAAAGAATTTGCAAGTCTACCTATTTTACAATCAACTTCAGACTTATCAGGTCTAAAGTTAAAAAACATTAGTCTGAAGTGAAAAAATTACACTTCAGATATACTTAAGGCCAAATAGGTCTAAAGTGTAACCAATAATTTCATGCACTAAGGCCAATAAGTCTGAAGTGAAAAATTACACTCCAGATACTCTTAAGGCCAAAAGGATTAAAGTGCAACAAATCTTTTCATACATTTAAGGCCAATAAGTCTGAAGTGAAAAATTACACTTCAGATGCACTTAAGGCCAAAAGGTCTGAAGTGCAACAAAGGTTTTCTTATACTTAAGGTCAATAAGTCTGAAGTGAAAAATTACACTTCAGATGCACTTAAGGCCAAAAGGTCTGAAGTGCAACAAAGGTTTTCTTATACTTAAGGTCAATAAGTCTGAAGTGAAAAATTACACTTCAGATGCGCTTAAGGCCAAATAGGTTTGAAGTGTAATTCATGGTTTCATACACTTAAGGCCAATAAGTCTGAAGTGAAAAATTACACTTCAGATCCACTTAAGGCCAAAAGGTCTGAAGTGCAACAAACGTTTTCCTACACTTAAGGTCAATAAGTCTGAAGTGAAAAATTACACTTCAGATCCACTTAAGGCCAAAAGGTCTGAAGTGCAACAAACGTTTTCCTACACTTAAGGTCAATAAGTCTGAAGTGAAAAATTACACTTCAGATCCACTTAAGGCCAAAAGGTCTGAAGTGCAACAAACGTTTTCCTACACTTAAGGTCAATAAGTCTGAAGTGAAAAATTACACTTCAGATCCACTTAAGGCCAAAAGGTCTGAAGTGCAACAAACGTTTTCCTACACTTAAGGTCAATAAGTCTGAAGTGAAAAATTACACTTCAGATCCACTTAAGGCCAAAAGGTCTGAAGTGCAACAAACGTTTTCCTACACTTAAGGTCAATAAGTCTGAAGTGAAAAATTACACTTCAGATCCACTTAAGGCCAAAAGGTCTGAAGTGCAACAAACGTTTTCCTACACTTAAGGTCAATAAGTCTGAAGTGAAAAATTACACTTCAGATGCGCTTAAGGCCAAATAGGTTTGAAGTGTAATTCATGGTTTCATACACTTAAGGCCAATAAGTCTGAAGTGAAAAATTGCACTTCAGATGCACTTAAGACCAAAAGGTCTAAAATGCAACAAACGTTTTCCTACACTTAAGATCAATAAGTCTGAAGTGAAAAATTACACTTCAGATGCGCTTAAGGCAAAATAGGTCTGAAGTTTATCTCATGGTTTCATACACTTAAGGCCAATAAGTCTGAAGTGAAAAATTGCACTTTAGATGCACTTAAGGCCAAAAGGTCTTAACTCTGAAGTGCAACAAACGTTTTCCTACACTTAAAGCCAATAAGTCTGAAGTGAAAATTTGCACTTCAGATGTACTTAAGGCCAAAAGGTCTGAAGTGCAACTAACGTTTTCATGCACTTAAGGCCAAATAGGCCTGAAGTGCAAATTGCCCAGAAACAGAAATTTGTTCTTCGAATTTTAACAATTGAATATACGATTTAATACCTAAATCTACTCCAAATGAGCTCAAATTTGAAATATGACCTCTAAACATCATCAAGAACAAATTCAATCATCAATTTGTCAAAACAACAATAAATCAAACGAATCCATTTTGCAATTAAAAAAAAGAAGAAGAAGAAACCCTAAGCAATAGTAAAAAATAAAGCGCTACAACAGCTCACAACTGCAAAATATCATAAATTGCCTTAATAAATGTTCACAAGACCTAAAATTATTTTTAAAGTGGGTACTGTAAGCACGTAATTTTTGACTCGCATATTAGAATTACCTTTAATAGTCCTAGTATGTTTTAGAATATTTATTTGAGTTCATTTCTATAGGATTTCACTTTATTATTAATTTTAATTCTATTTTTTAAAGCACAAAAATTGAAAAATACAAAAATAGTTTTATTTTCTCTATTTAATTTAGGTATTAGGTATTTTTAGAAAGATATTGTTTTTAATATTATTTTAACGGAGTCATTTTTTCCTCGATTTGGGATTCTAAAAAATAAACCGGTGACTTGGGACACCATAAATTATTCCAAGTGGCGACTCTGAATTAAAATAATAATCCAATTTCGATTAATGTCACTTAAATTGGAAAAACCCCTATCCCCCTCGGAAAAAAAGGAGGTGTGACAGGTACAAGTTAAAAAATAAATAAATAGTGAGTACGAATTAAATAGGGGCGACCAAATAGAGCTCCGTGCAATTTTTACTGATTTCTTGGTCCTTGGCCCATGTTAAATTAAGCAAAATGTCCATCCCATACCCCATAAAGAACCGAATGGTGTAGATATTAATTATTAATTAATAAAAAAATAAAATTATATAACCGAACTCAGAATATAACCGAAAAATATATGTGTATACATTTCTGTATATTATATAAAAAATATATAAATTTTATATATACTTTTATAACTATCGAATATAAATAATTTTTACCGTAATCTTTGGCCATTAATTAATTATTGGGTCCATTTTGCAAAAATGATTTGCATTAATTGAGTGAGTTATGTTTTAATATTGTCGATTCTGCCCCACATGTTCCCCGTCAAACCGCGCCTATAACATGTAGCTGAATAAAAATCTCCTGTTTTTTCGGTCTCCAGCAAATTTTCTTTAACCTAGTTTTCCCTCATGTGTCCATGTGCATATTATCCCAGAAAATTATTTTTGTATAGTTTTAGGTTTTTTGAATTCTTATTGAATTGGAGATAAGAGGTTGTACTTATGCAAATGTATTAATTTCTGTTAATTTTTTCTTTTAACTTTGCGTCCAGTCAACTTCAATAATTTTGGTGGGTCGTATTGGATTTCGAAATGAAAATTCGTTGACATTGATGGAACATATTTAATAAATCCAACGCAATTTTATGTGATTGAAATAAGAACTGAATTCA